TTATTTATCGGATGATTTTTTGGCCGAAAAACGAAACATCGGTGATTCTGTTGCCACCAATGATTGCGAAAATCGGCCTTTTTCGTAAATTTTCCAGCATGACTAATAAAAGAAATGAGGAGGAACTACGAAAATCGGCCGTTGACATTGCCCCACTCACGGTGCAAATAAATACAAACAATTATAAATAAGTAATAAATAAATACAATAAATGAATACTATGTAGTAATAAATAAATAATAATTAACCCCTAACCCTTAAAAAATGTAATTTATTATTATTAATAATAATAAACACCCTAGCCCTAACACAGAAAGAATATTAATAATAAACACCCTCACCCTAACACAAAAAAAAAAAAAAAATAATAATAATAATAAACACCCTAGCCCTAACACAAAAAGAATAATAATAATAATAAACACCCTAGCCCTAACACAAAAAGAATAATAATAATAATAAACACCCTAGCCCTAACACAGAAATAATAAAATTAATAATAATAAACGCCCTAGCCCTAACACAAAAAGAATAATAATAATAAACACCCTCACCCTAACACAAAAAAAAAAAAAAAAAAAATAATAATAATAATAAACACCCTAGCCCTAACACAAAAAGAATAATAATAATAATAATAATAATAATAATAAAAAACGCCCTAGCCCTAACACAAAAAGAATATTAATAATAAACACCCTCACCCTAACACAAAAAAAAAAATAATAATAATAATAAACACCCTAGCCCTAACACAAAAAGAATAATAATAATAATAATAATAATAAACGCCCTAGCCCTAACACAAAAAGAATATTAATAATAAACACCCTCACCCTAACACAAAAAAAAAATAATAATAATAATAAACACCCTAGCCCTAACACAATAATAATAATAATAATAATAAACACCCTAGCCCTAACACAGAGAGAATAAAATTAATAATAATAAACACCCTAGCCCTAACACAAAAAGAATAATAATAATAAACACCCTCACCCTAACACAAAAAAAAAAAAATAATAATAATAATAATAAACACCCTAGCCCTAACACAAAAAGAATAATAATAATAAAAATAATAATAATAAACGCCCTAGCCCTAACACAAAAAGAATATTATTAATAAACACCCTCACCCTAACACAAAAAGTAATAATAATAATAATAATAATAAACACCCCTAGCCCTAACACAAAAAGAATAATAATAATAATAAACACCCTAGCCCTAACACAGAAAGAATACATTTAATAATAATAAATGCCCTAGCCCTAACACAAAAAAGAATAATAATAATAATAGTAATAATAAACACCCTAGCCCTAACACAAAAAAGAATAATAATAATAATAATAATAATAATAAACGCCCTAGCCCTAACACAAAAAGAATATTAATAATAAACACCCTCACCCTAACACAAAAAAAAAAAAATAATAATAATAATAATAATAAACACCCTAGCCCTAACACAAAAAGAATAATAATTTATTTTTTTGTTCAGATTTGGGTATTATTATTATCAATAATAATATATTTAATATATATTTTTTTGTGTTAGGGATTTAAGCTTAGGAGTTAATTATTATTATTTATTCTTATATATTATTAATTTATTTAATTTATCATTTATTTATGATTATTTTTATCTATTTGTGTATTTATTTTACATCCATTTATTCATGTATTATTACCATTTGTTATTCTTTCGGACGTAAAATCAACCGATAAACGAACCGTCTATGGCCTGCATAAGGTGACCATCATGGCTCCCTCCATTGATATAGTGGAGGAATGACGTAGCCAATCAGGGACAGGATCTGTGTTATTGGCAGGATTGCCAGGTGAAAATAAAAGGAAAAAAAAAATAAAGAAAATCTGAAAATAAACTAATGCAGCCACCACACCAAGGACTACTAATTTGAAGCTTATTATTTATTTTTGTTTTGGGTTTAGATACCCTTCATACCCTTTAAATGAAAAATGTTAAGTTGTGGGAAATGTACTGAAAAGGAAATTTAAAAAATCCTCATTCTATGTAATCACACAATCAGCCCGAGAACGCTTCATTTCAGAAGGTTTTCCTGGGGCCCCATTGACACCCGAGCAATCTGCGGCTCGAAGCTCTAAAATGCTTGAGGAGCAAAAATCAATTATTCTCAATGGAGACAGTTTCACATGTCCGTTCCAAGTCTCCTGAAGCCAAACGCCTGCAGCTCAAAACATGTTCTGCAGCTTTTTTTGTAACTCACATTGGTCAAATCAATAGAGACTTGTGCGTTTTTGCATGTTTTGTCTCACGTTTTTGTGCGATTTTCTGCTCAAATGTAAAAAATGTAAAAAAAATGGTAATAATACATGAATAAATGGATGTAAAATAAATACACCAAAAGATTAAAATAATTATAAATACTAAATAAATTAAATAGAATAATAATATATGAGTAAATAAATATTAATTAACTCCTAACCTTAACTCCCTAACCTAAAAAAATATAAAATACATTATTATTGATGATAATAATAATAATAATTATTATTATTATATTATAAATAAAAACCCAAATCTGAACAAAAAAAATATTATTATTATTCTTTTTGTGTTAGGGCTCGGGTGTTTATTATTATTGTTATTATTATTTTTCTTTTTGTGTTCGGGCTAGGGTGTTTATTATTATTATTCTTTTTGTGTTAGGGCAAGGGTGTTTTTTTATTATTATTATTTTTCTTTTTGTGTTAGGGCTAGGGTGTTTATTATTATTATTATTCTTTTTGTGTTAGGGCTAGGGTGTTTATTATTATTATTATTATTATTATTTTTCTTTTTGTGTTAGGGCTAGGGTGTTTATTATTATTATTATTATTATTCTTTTTGTGTTAGGGCTCGGGTGTTTATTATTATTATTATTATTATTTTTGTGTTAGGGCTAGGGTGTTTATTATTATTATTATTATTATTATTTTTGTTTTAGGGCTAGGGTGTTTATTATTATTATTATTCTTTTTGTGTTAGGGCTCGGGTGTTTATTATTATTATTTTTGTGTTAGGGCTAGGGTGTTTATTATTATTATTTTTGTGTTAGGGCTAGGGTGTTTATTATTATTATTATTTTTCTTTTTGTGTTAGGGCTAGGGTGTTTGTTTATTATTATTATTATTATTCTTTTTGTGTTAGGGCTTGGGTGTTTATTATTATTATTATTATTCTTTTTGTGTTAGGGCTAGGGTGTTTATTATTATTATTATTATTATTATTTTTGTGTTAGGGCTCGGGTGTTTATTATTATTATTTTTGTGTTAAGGCTAGGGTGTTTATTATTATTATTATTATTTTTCTTTTTGTGTTAGGGCTAGGGTGTTTATTATTATTATTATTATTATTATTCTTTTTGTGTTAGGGCTTGGGTGTTTATTATTATTATTATTATTATTTTTGTTTTAGGGCTAGGGTGTTTATTATTATTATTATTATTTTTGTGTTAGCGCTAGGGTGTTTATTATTATTATTATTCTTTTTGTGTTAGGGCTAGGGTGTTTATTATTATTATTATTATTATTATTATTCTTTTTGTGTTAGGGCTCGGGTGTTTATTATTATTATTATACAGGATTTATGGCGCCAACAGTTTGCTCAGCACTTTACAATATAACGGGAGACAATACAGCAACAATACAGATCAATACAAGAGGGATAGGAGGGCCCTGATCCTGGGAGCTTATTATTATTATTATTATTAATACCCTAACCTTAACAAAATAAAAAATAAAGAATAAATAAGTAAGAAGAAGAAGACAATAAATAAAATATTAACCCCCTAATTCTAACCTAAACCCCAACCCCTAATCCTCACCCTAACCTAACCAGAACTCTAACAACTTAACCTAACAAACAACAACAAAAAAAAATAACAATAAATGAATGATAATAATAAACAAAAGAAATGGAAAATCTAGAAAAGCTGTAACCCCCTAGCAACAAATGATGCAGCAGATGATATTATTCTCTATTGGCTAATTAAAAAAAAGCCAAAGCTCAAAAACTAGAAAAAAAAAAAATGCTGTATGAAAACGCACAAAAAAGTCGCTCAAATTCAGTACGCTTCATAGTTCCATAGTTAGTCTGGCTGAAAAAAGACAAAAGTCCATCCAGTTCAACCATTAAAAAAAAAAAAAGTTATAATCCTACACCCACAGTTGATCCAGAGGAAGGCAAAAAACCCAGCAAAGCACGATCCAATTTGCTCCTGCTGGGAAAAAATTCCTTCCTGATCCCCCGAGAGGCAATCGGATATTCCCTGAAAAAATAAGTACGAGGACCGATCGTCCGATAATCGGATCGTTAGTACACAGCTTTTGAGAGCCGATCATGACAATTCGTATGAAGGTAAAAGGGAGAAGCGCAAAAATTTGTGAATGTGGCCTAATGTCCCGTACACGTGATGAGAATATCGGACGAACGATCGGCCCTTTTTTTTTCGCCTGCTAGTCTCACATCGAAGGTGAAAAGGTTACTAAAGATACGAAAATTCTCCCATTAAAGAAAAGAATTTGGAAAGTGATGTCATGTATTGCGTTGTATTTGTATTGTATTTTCAGACTACTTACTGTACTGATTAACCCCTCACCTACCGGGCACTTCTACCCCCTTCCTGCCTACCGGGCACTTCTACCCCCTTCCTGCCTACAGGGCACTTCTACCCCCTTCCTGCCCACCGGGCACTTCTACCCCCTTCCTGCCTACAGGGCACTTCTACCCCCTTCCTGCCTACAGGACACTTCTACCCCCTTCCTGCCTACAGGGCACTTCTACTCCCTTCCTGCCTACAGGGCACTTCTACCCCATTCCTGCCTACAGGGCACTTCTACCCCCTTCCTGCCTACAGGGCACTTCTACCCCATTCCCGCCTACAGGACACTTCTACCCCCCCTTCCTGCCTACCGGGCACTTCTACCCCCTTCCTGCCTACAGGGCACTTCTACCCCTTTCCTGCCCACCGGACACTTCTACCCCCATCCTGCCTATCGGGCACTTCTACCCCCTTCCTGCCTACAGGGCACTTCTACCCCCTTCCTGCCTACCGGGCACTTCTACCCCCTTCCTGCCTACCGGGCACTTCTACCCCCTTCCTGCCTACCGGACTATTCTACCCCCTCCCTGCCTACCAGGCACTCCTACCCCCTTCCTGCCTACTGGGCACTTCTACCCCCTTCCTGCCTACCGGGCACTCCTGCCCCCTTCCTGCCTACCGGGCACTCCTACCCCCTTCCTGCCTACCGGCACTTCTACCCCCTTCCTGCCTACCGGGCATTTCTACCCCCTTCCTGGCTACAGGACACTTCTACCCCCCTTCCTGCCTACCGGGCACTCCTACCCCCTTCCTGCCTACCGGGCACTTCTACCCCCTTCCTGCCTACCGGACACTTCTACCCCCTTCCTGCCTACAGGACACTTCTACCCCCTTCCTGCCTACCAGGCACTTCTACCCCCTTCCTGCCTACAGGACACTTCTACCCCCTTCCTGCCCACCGAGCACTTCTACCCCTTTCCTGCCTACAGGACACTTCTACCCCCTTCCTGCCTACAGGGCACTTCTACCCCCTTCCTGCCTACAGGACACTTCTACCCCCTTCCTGCCTACCGGACAATTCTACCCCCTCCCTGCCTACCGGGCACTTATACCCCCTTCTTTACCAGGCCACTTTTCAGCTTTCAGCGCTGTCGCACTTTGATTAACAATTGCGCCATCATGCAACATTGTACCCATATGAAATTTTTATCATTTTTTTTTCTCACACATAGAGCTTTCTTTTGGTGGTATTTAATCGCTGCCGGGCACTTTACTTTTTTGCGCGATAAACAAAAAAATTGCAAAAAATTTTAAAAAAAAAAGTTTCTTTGTTTCTATTATAAAATTTTTCAAACAGGTAATTTTTCTCCTTCACTGATGTGCATTGATGAGGCAGCACTGATGGCCACTAATAGGCAGCACTGATGGGCACTGATAGGCAGCACTGATGGGCACTGATAGGCAGCACTGATAGGCGGCACTAATGAGGTTGCACGGATAGGCGGCACTGATAGGCAGCACTAATGAGGTGTCACGGATAGGTGGCACTTATAGGTGGCACTGATAGACAGCACTGATAGGGGGCACTGATATGTAGCACTAATGAGGTGGTACTGATAGGCAGCACTAATGAGGTGTCACAGATAGGCGGCACTGATAGACAGCACTGATAGGTGGCACTGACTGGCGGCACTGCTAGGAATTGACTGGCGCAACTGCTGGGTTGCACTGGTGGGCACAGGTGGGTGGCACTTCTGAGCACAGGTGGGCGCACTGCTGGGCACAGGTGGGCAGAACTGGTGGGTGGCACTGCTGGGCACTGATCATCAGTGCCCTGATGATTGGTGCCGATCCCTGCTCTACAACTGCAAGTTCTCGGCAGTACTTTCCTCATACTCTGACACCGTGAGGAAAGTGCAGCCGAGAATCGGCAATTGCATTTCCCGGTGATCATCATCATTGGACACAGCTGATCACGTGGTAAAAGGCCACTGTGATTGGCCTTTTACCACATCACATGATCAGCTGTGTCCGTAGGACACAGCGATCACGGAGATCGCCAGGTGCGCGCCCCAGCACGTTCTGGGAGGACGTCATATGACACCCTCCCAGAACTGGCCGGCCGCAGTGCAGCCGTCATTCGGCTATATGCGGTTGGCAAATAGTTAAATGAAAATCGTACAAGAAAAATGTTTGCGCTTGTCCCTTCGGATATTGTCGTATGAATTGTCGTGATCGGCTCTCAGAAGTTGTGTACGAACGTTCCGATTATCGGACGATCGGATCTTGTACGAAAATTTTTGTACGATTTTCTTATAGTGTGTACGAGGCATTAGACTCCTCACGCGGTGTGTGGCCCCGTCGTTCATCAGATTTATGGAGACCCCCTACATTGTAAGCGGCTATCTATCCTCACATCCCCTGATATCTAGGAAATCGCAGAGAACTCCAGGAAATTGGAGGCTGTGCTCCTCTGAAGGGCGAAGAGGACCGGATACATTTCCTGAGCTCGCCATCTGAAGATTACATGGAGAGAATCTTCAAAGGCTTCTGTTCATTGTTTGTCTTTATTGTGTCAACATCCACATGGAGGGGGTCTCAAATCAGAGCAGATGTCTGAGTATGAGCAACCAGAGTGCAGGATAAAGGGCCACATGAGACAACATAGAACCCGTCTTCCGTAAATGAGCCTTCCGGAACATCTCTGGATGGCGTGTAAACATTTACACACCTTGATGGAACACGCATCTTCCATGATCTCCACCCTACATGCCCCGGGGTCACCACGAGACTCATATGGACTGTGAGCCCACGAGACAGGGTGACCTGGAACTGAGAATTAACCACTTCAAGTCCAGACACTTTCCCCCCCTTCCGGTCCGGACACTTTCACCCCCTTTTCCGGACACCCCCCTTCCGGTCCGGACACTTTCCCCCCCTTCCGGTCCGGACACTTTCATCCCCTTCCGGTCCGGACACTTTCCCCCCCTTCCGGTCCGGACACTTTCACCTCCTTCCGGTCCGGACACTTTCCCCCCCCTTCCGGTCCGGACACTTTCACCCCCTTCCGGTCCGGACACTTTCACCCCTTCCGGTCCGGACACTTTCACCCCCTTCCTGTCCGGACACTTTCCCCCCCTTCCAGTCCGGACACTTTACCCCCCTTCCGGTCCGGACACTTTCCCCCCCTTCCAGTCCGGACACTTTCCCCCCCCTTCCAGTCCGGACACTTTCCCCCCCTTCCAGTCCGGACACTTTCCCCCCCTTCCAGTCCGGACACTTTCCCCCCCTTCCAGTCTGGACACTTTCCCCCCCCTTCCAGTCTGGACACTTTCCCCCCCTTCCAGTCTGGACACTTTCCCCCCCTTCCAGTCCGGACACTTTCCCCCCCTTCCAGTCCGTACACTTTCCCCCCCTTCCAGTCCGGACACTTTCACCCCCTTCCAGTCAGGCCAATTTTCAACTTTCAGCGCTATCACACTTTGAATGACAATTGCGCGGTCATGCAACACTGTACCCATATGAATTTTTTAGCATTTTTTTGAGACAAATAAAACTTTATTTTGGTGGTATTTACTCACCGCTGGGATTTTTATTTTTTGTGCTATATACAGGTGAAACTCGAAAAATGAGAATATGGTGCAAAAGTTAATTTATTTCAGTGCAGCAACTTAAAAGGTGAAACTAATATATGAGACTCATTACATGCAAAGCAAGATAGTTCAAGCCGTGATTTGTCATCATTGTGATGATTATGGCTTACAGCTCATGAAAACCCCAAATCCACAATCTCAGAAAATGACAATATTCCATGCAATCAATAAAACACGGATTGTACATAGAACAATATCGCACCTCTGAAAAGTAGAAGCTGCATATGTACTCAGTACTTGGTTTGGGCCCCTTTTGCAGCAATTACTGCCTCAATGCGGCGTGGCATGGAAGCTATCAGCCTGTGGCACTGCTGAGGTGTTATGGAAGACCAGGATGCTTCAATAGCGGCCTTCAGCTCTTCTGCATTGTTCGGTCTCATGTCTCTCATCTTTCTCTTGGCAATGCCCCATAGATTCTCTATGGGGTTCAGGTCAGGCGAGTTTGCTGGCCAATCAAGCACAGTGATCCCATGGTCATTGAACCGGTTTTGGTGCTTTTGGCAGTGTGGGCGGTGCCAAGTCCTGCTGGAAAATGAAGTCAGCATCCCCATAAAGCTCGTCTGCGGAAGGAATCATGAAGTGCTCCAAACACACCTCCAAGACCACCACTGCCTTGCTAAAGAAGCTGAGGGTGAAGGTGATAGACTGGCCAAGCATGTCTCCAGACCTAAACCCTATTGAGCATCTGTGGGGCGTCCTCAAACGGAAGGTGGAGGAGCGCAAGGTCTCCAACATCCACCAGCTCTGTGATGTTGTCATGGAGGAGTGGAAGACAGAAGGTGGAGGAGCGCAAGGTCTCCAACATCCACCAGCTCCGTGATGTCGTCATGGAGGAGTGGAAGATGGAGGAGCGCAAGGTCTCCAACATCCACCAGCTCCGTGATGTCGTCATGGAGGAATGGAAGGTGGAGGAGCGCAAGGTCTCTAACATCCACTAGCTGTGTGATGACGTCATGGAGGAGTGGAAGACGGAAGGTGGAGGAGCGCAAGGTCTCCAACATGTACCAGCTCCGTGATGTCGTCATGGAAGAGTGGAAGACAGAAGGTGGAGGAGCGCCAGGTCTCCAACATCCACCAGCTCTGTGATGACATCATGGAGGAGTGGAAGAGGACTCCAGTGGCAACCTGTGAAGCTCTGGTGACCTCCATGCCCAAGAGGGTTAAGGCAGTGCTGGAAAATAATGGCGGCCACACAAAATATTGACACTTTGGGCCCAATTTGGACCTTGTCACTTAGGGGTGGACTCACTTTTGTTGCCGGCGGTTTAGACATGAATGGCGGTGTGTTGAGGTATTTGAGGGGACAGTAAATTTCCATGTTATACAAGCTGTACACTGACTACATCACATTGTAGCAAAGTGTCATTTCTTCCGTGTTGTCACATGAAAAGATAGAATCAAATATTTACAAAAAAAAAAAGTTATAATCCTCCACTCACAGTTGATCCAGAGGAAGGCAGTTAAAAAAAAAAATCCTGATCACTTGCCCCGAGTAGGTCAATGTTACTATGATAACATTGTATTGCTGGGGTCACAGTATGCTGAAAAATAAAATGGTAAATAAAAAGAAAAAATGTAATAAAAAAGAAAAAAAAAGAAACATTTAAAAAAAAAAAAAAATACAAATTCTACTATCATTATTATTTTCACCAAAGCAATGTAGCAGAATACGTGTTGACCTAAATTTATGAAGAAATTTTATTTATTTGCAAAATTTTATAACAGAATGAATGAAGAAAAGTGCCTTTGTTTTTCAAAAGTTTCAGCTGTTTTTTGTTTTATTTAGCAAAAAAATAAAAACCCAGAGGTGATTAAATACCACCAAAAAAAAGCTCTATTTGTGTGAAAAAAAAATTTCATATGGGTACAGTGTTGCATGACCGCGCAATTGTCATTCAAATTGCGACAGTGTTGAAAGGTGAAAATTGGCCTGGGCAGGAGGGGGGTAGAAGTGCCCGGTGGGCAGGAGGGGGGTAGAAGTGCCCTGTAGGCAGGAAGGGGGTAGAAGTGCCCGGTGGGCAGGAGGGGGGTAGAAGTGCCCGGTGGGCAGGAAGGGGGTAGAAGTGCCCGGTAGGCAGGAAGGGGGTAGAAGTGCCCTGTAGGCAGGAAGGGGTAGAAGTGTCCGGTAGGCAGGAAGGGGGTAGAAGTGCCCGGTAGGCAGGAAGGGGGTAGAAGTGCCCCGGTAGGCAGGAAGGGGGTAGAAGTGTCCTGTAGGCAGGAAGGGGATAGAAGTGCCCTGTAGGCAGGAAGGGGGTAGAAGTGTCCGGTAGGCAGGAAGGGGGGTAGAAGTGCCCTGTAGGCAGGAAGGGGGTAGAAGTGTCCGGTAGGCAGGAAGGGGGTAGAAGTGCCCGGTAGGCAGGAAGGGGGTAGAAGTGTCCTTACTAGGCAGGAGGGGGGTAGAAGTACCCTGTAGGCAGGAGGGGGTAGAAGTGCCCTGTAGGCAGGAGGGGGTCACTGTAGAAGTACCCTGTAGGCAGGAGGGGGGTAGAAGTGCCCTGTAGGCAGGAGGGGGGTAGAAGTACCCTGTAGCAGGAAGGGGCGGAAGTGCCCTGTAGGCAGTAGAAGTGAACGGTAGGCAGGAAGGGGGTAGAAGTGCCCGGTATTGATGCGGTTAATATGAATTATGAATGATTTGGCACAATTTCTTTTTTTTTCTCTTTACCAGACAGGAGTATGACCCTCTGGCTGATCCTGGAATCTGAGATCTTGGTCACTGTTATGTGTCAGCAAACTCGGGTATAAAATATTAACTCTGCAGTCCGGTTTGGGAAGCAGGGGGGGAGGGGCAGGGGGGGGGGGTTACTGGGCCAGTAAGTCCACAACACACCTTTATATCCCTTTGCTATTTCTTATCAGAATTGCAAATAATGAGTTGGCATATAATGAGGGCACTGCCACCAGCATTGGTATCCACAACCCACTCCCGGTATCCGCAATCCACTCCCGGTATCCCCAATCATCTCCTGGTATCCCCAATCCACTCCTGGCATTGGTATCCACAACCCACTCCCGGTATCCACAACCCACTCCCGGTATCCACATTCCACTCCCGGTATCCACATTCCACTCCCGGTATCCACAATCCACTCCCGGTATCCACAACCCATTCCCGGTATCCACAACCCACTCCCGGTATCCACAACCCCATTCCGGTATCCACAATCCATTCCCGGTATCCACAATCCATTCCCGGTATCCACAATCCACTCCCGGTATCCACAATCCCAGACTCTGTGTTCTATATTCACAGCAGAGGCGTCCCTAGGGTTGGTGTCACCCGGTGCGGTAACATTTGGTGACACCCCCTCCGGCGATCCCCGCAGGACTCTGATCCATTATGCTCAATACATGGACCGGACGGGAAGTGGTTAATAACAGATACCAGTGTGCCATAGAATTATAGATATTATTGAGGACAAGGGGGCGCTCTTTACATCTGGAGGAAAAGAAATGTAACCTCCAAACACGGAAAGGTTTCTTCACAGTAAGAGCTGTGAGAATGTGGAATAGACTCCCTCCAGAGTTGGTTGTGGCCAGCTCAGTGGATTGCTGTAGGAAAGTCCTGGATTCTTTCTTGGATACACAGAATATAACTGGATATAACATTTATAGGGAAAGTTGATCCAGGGAATATCCGATTGCCTCTCGGGGGATCAGGAAGGATTTCTCTCCCCTGCAGGAGCAAATTGGATCGTGCTTTGCTGGGATTTTGCCTTCCTCTGGATCAGCTGTGGGTGTAGGATTATAACTTTTTTTTTTCTTTTTTTAATGGTTGAACTGGATGGACTTTTGTCCTTTTTCAGCCAGACTAACTATGGAACTATTAAATAGTATCAGACATTACTGTACGTGTCTGCGCTTACTCAGCGATTATTCCCTTTTCTGTCACCGTACTGATTAACCACTTCCGCGGCCGGACATTTCTGGCACTTTTATGTTTGCATTTTAAAATCTGTATTTCTTGCTAGATATTTTTGAAAATATATTTTTCAGATTTTTTTTAACATATAAAAAGAGTCATTTTAACACATATTTGTAAATGCGTTCCAAAAATGTAGATTTGTATTTTTAAAGACATACAGTATGTTTGAAATGTAATTTTTAAAATATTTTTTATATGTTTTGTAATAAAAATGCATTTCAACATGCAGTATATATATATATATATATATATATATATATATAAAAATATATTTTGAAATATATAGAATACGGACAAAATTGTAGCATTTCAAATATATATTTTTCTTCCATGTCGGTTATTTCATATAGAATCATATATTATAACCTTTTTGTGATAGAATTACATAAAAAACTAATATTCAAATTAATATATCATATATACTCAATAATAATAATAATATACTCAAAACATATAAAAAATATTTTCCAAAAAATTGAAAAGAAAAAAAAAAAAAAAAAAAAAAATGGTCCAATGAAAAACAGTGTCCCAATAAAAAAACAGTGTCCAAAAAAAAGGTCCCAAATTTTCAAACTTTATGATCCAATAGGAAGGAATCCTATTTCATCCCGTGATACATTAAAATTCCACATATCCAGCTCCAAACATGGCTCCTATGCGAGTTCTGCCAAACAAATGCAGTAAGCCATGTGTGAACAACCAAAAAAATGGCCGCGGCGACACTTCCGGTCTGCGTACGTGCGTCTCGACGCCCACACCCCTAACGCGTTTCGTCACTTCCGGACTTCGCCTGAAGTCCGGAAGTGACGAAACGCGTTAGAGGTGTGGCGTCG